GTGCGTCACGTTTAACATATGCTGATCTTCGTTGTCATTGCAGTACCACCACTTCACGGTGGACATACACACGTTTAACTATCTCTAATCCTTTTCAGTGTTTACTCTACATCTAAGTCTGAATCTAATCAGTCCGTCTATATAGACTACCGTGCGTCACGTTTAACATATGCTGATCTTCGTTGTCATTGCAGTACCACCACTTCACGGTGGACATACACACGTTTAACTATCTCTAATCCTTTTCAGTGTTTACTCTACATCTAAGTCTGAATCTAATCAGTCCGTCTATATAGACTACCGTGCGTCACGTTTAACATATGCTGATCTTCGTTGTCATTGCAGTACCACCACTTCACGGTGGACATACACACGTTTAACTATCTCTAATCCTTTTCAGTGTTTACTCTACATCTAAGTCTGAATCTAATCAGTCCGTCTATATAGACTATAGTGTGTCTCTGTTAACACGATGCTGATCCTTGCCATTGCAGTACCACCACTTCACGGTGGACATACACACGTTTAACTATCTCTAATCCTTTTTAGCGTTTACTCTACATCTAAGTCTGAATCTAATCAGTCCGTCTATATAGACTACCATGTGTCACTTTTAACATATGCTGATCTTTGTTGTCATTGCAGTACCAACACTTCACAGAGGACATACACACGTTTAACTATCTCTAATCCTTTTTAGCGTTTACTCTAAATCTAAGTCTGAATCTAATCAGTCTGTTTATATAGACTACCGTGTGTCACTTTTAACATGCTGATCTTCGTTGTCATTGCAGTACCACCACTTCACAGAGGACATACAGACGAGACAGTACCGCGCGCTCGAGGTGCTCATAGGAGCGGGGTACGGATCGCCGGCCGACATATGGAGCACCGCCTGCATGGTGAGATATGAGTACCGCACGCTAAATACCGCACTACACACCACACTATGTTCTTGCACTAAACTCTGCACTCGATTCTGTACTATATTGCTATATATTACTACGTGTGTATAGTGCACATATTACGTAGAGCAGGGGTAGAAATTAACTTTTGAACAAGGGAGTCCAACGGACTCCTTGCCCTCAAAAAGAGGGAGTCCGCAGCAAAATGAGGGAGTCCGCAATCTGAGGTTCAAAATTAAAGATATTAACAATAACGCATACATGTGCTTATTTTTAAGATTAATGCACAGGCACTTGGGACAGAGTCAGTAAAAACTGAAAATAATATGAACACGCATTCACAAATAGGCCCTACTACCATACCCCTCTGTTACAGTTCCACTGTTGCGACACTGTATATCAACTTTCCTTCATATAAACCTATGACGTAAATCTAACGCCGAACGCTCCCGCACTCGCGGCGGCTGTGACGCTATGATAATAACAGGAGTAAGATAATATAGGATTATATTATCTTACTCCTGATAATAATATATATAAAAACTCTATATATATTATTATCATAGCGTCACAGCCGCGGCGAGTGCGGGAGCGTTCGGCGTTAGTTTTTACATAGGTTTTTATAAAGGAAAGTTGATATACAGTGTCGCAACAGTGGACTGTGGAACTAACAGAGGGGTACGGTACGTAGTAGGGCCTATTTGTGAATGTGTGTTCATATTATTTTCAGTTTTTACTGACTTTGTCCCAAGTGCCTGTGGATTAATGCAGTTGCACGTTTGCCAAATTTTCTTTGGACATTAGCTGAAAAGATACGGTAATTCCGCGAGGCCGTGCTCCGGAACGAACTAGTTAGTATGGCAGAATTTACAGGGAGTCACACAGACTCCTGCATATGTCAAATCAGGGAGTCCGACAGTAAATCAGGGAGTATTTGACTCCGATAATTTCGCACCCTGTACACTCTGCACTACATTCCACACTACGACCCCACACTACACTAAACTCAGACTCTGCACTAGACTCTATACCCTCCCTCTCCCCTCTCTTCTGTTGGTGCCCACCCTTCCTCTACCCTCCCTCTCGGTGCCCACCCTCCCTCTTGTTTCCCACCCTCCCTCTCGGTGCCCACCCTCCCTCCACCCTCTCTCTCGGTGCCCACCTTCCCTCTACCCTCCCTCTCGGTGCCCACCCTCCCTCTACCCTCCCTTTCGCTTCCCACCCTCCCTCTCGCTTCCCACCCTTGCTCTCGGTGCCCACCCTCCCTCTCGCTTCTCGCCCTCCCTCTTGCTTCCCACCCTCCCTCTCGCTTTCCACCCTCCCTCTCGCCTCCCACCCTCCCTCTCGCTTCCCACTCTCCCTCTCGGTGCTCGCTCCACAACGTTCTTGTGTTTTGTCGGCAGGCGTTTGAGCTCGTCACGGGAGACCACCTGTTTGAGCCGCACTCGGGCGAGGACTACTCGCGCGACGAGGACCACCTCGCTCACTTCCCACCCTCCCTCTCGGTGCTCGCGGTTCAACGTTCTTGTGTTTTGTCGGCAGGCGTTTGAGCTCGTCACGGGAGACTACCTGTTTGAGCCGCACTCGGGCAAGGACTACTCGCGCGACGAGGACCACCTCGCTCACTTCCCACCCTCCCTCTCGCTTCCCACCCTCCCTCTCGCTTCCCACCCTCCCTCTCGCTTCCCACCCTCCCTCTCGCTTCCCACCCTCCCTCTCGGTGCTCGCGGTTCAACGTTCTTGTGTTTTGTCGGCAGGCGTTTGAGCTCGTCACGGGAGACTACCTGTTTAAGCCGCACTCGGGCGAGGACTACTCGCGTGACGAGGACCACCTCGCTCACTTCCCACCTTCCCTCTCGGTGCTCGCGGCTCAACGTTCTTGTGTTTTGTCGGCAGGCGTTTGAGCTCGTCACGGGAGACTACCTGTTTGAGCCGCACTCGGGCGAGGACTACTCGCGCGACGAGGACCACCTCGCTCACTTCCCACCCTCCCTCTCGGTGCTCGTGGCTCAACGCTCTTGTGTTTTGTCGGCAGGCGTTTGAGCTCGTCACGGGAGACTACCTGTTTGAGCCGCACTCGGGCGAGGACTACTCGCGCGACGAGGACCATCTCGCTCACATCATCGAGTTGCTGGGAGACATTCCGCGCCACATCGCTCTCTCCGGCAAATACTCGCGAGAGTTCTTCAACAAGCAGGGTAGGTGACCTTCCGCCCGAGACCCTCTCGTTTGCAGGGTAGACCGTAGAAGTTTGTGTCGTGGTGGGGCAGGCGCGTTCTGTAACCTCGCGTTAACATATCCTGTCGTCGTGGATAGATGGACGGTCGGACAGATAGACAGACAGACAAACAGATAGATGGAGATATGAATTATAGATATATTAGTTATCTACTGTATCTTTATAGAGATTAATAGACGAGAGCGAGAAAGAGAGAGAGAGAGAGAGAGAGAGAGGAGAGAGAGAGAGAAGAGAGAGAGAGAAGAGAGAGAGAGAGAGAGAGAGAGAGAGAGAGAGAGAGAGAGAGAGAGAGAGAGAGAGAGAGAGAGAGAGAGAGAGAGACAGAGCGAGGAGAGAGGAAAGAGATATGCAATCTTTATACATATAATCTACGATCATCTAACCCGTGCAAAGCAATATTATATTTTTATATTTGCACTGCAAAATATATGCAATAATAATACATATAATCTACTATCATCTAATTAATGCGCGTATCGTTATCTCTGCAGGGAAGCTGAGGCACATTCACAAGCTGAAGCCGTGACAGAATATATTCATGTATATATCATATTAATTAATACTAATTTATCTAATGACATCTCTCGTTATCTCTGCAGGCAAGCTGAGGCACATCCACAAGCTGAAGCCGTGGGGCCTGTACGACGTGCTCGTCGAGAAGTACGAGTGGGATGCGGAGGAAGCCCTGCAGTTCTCCAGCTTCCTCATCCCGATGATGGAGCTAGCCGCCGAGAAAGCGCGCCAGCGCCGCCGAGTGTCTGCAGCATCCCTGGCTCAGCTCGTAGTCGCCGCGGCAACCGCGCGCCGTAGCAACAGCATCCCCCGGTCTCTCGCGCTGCGGAGGCGCCCCCTGGGAGGGATGCGCAGACGGTTTTGGCGTGCGCGCGTGCTAGAAGAGCGAGCGTTATTTTAGGGGAGCGCCGTGGGGGTGGTTTTGTCGCCCCCTGGAGGTGGTTTTGTCGCGTGCTGCAGGCGCCCCCTGGGGGGATGCGGGTGTAGTTTTGTCATGCGGCGTCAGCGCCCCCTGGGGGGATGCGGGTGTAGTTTTGTCATGCGGTAGCGTCAGCCCCCTGGGATGCGGGTGTAGTTTTGTCATGCGGCGTCAGCGCCCCCTGGGGGGATGCGGCTGTAGTTTTGTTGCGTGCTGCGGGCGCCCCCTGGGGGGGACGCGGGGATGGATTTGTCGCGTACTGAGCAGCAAGACTGCACTATTGTATAGTCAGATACGATGTTGTATATGTCGGTGCGACGAGACGCGAGTGCAGATGGCGCCACCTCTATGCACCCATTGTGTTCGCTGCTCGCTAGCAGTTTGCTCTTGTTCTCGTTGGCGGCGGTGCTGTTATCGGTAGTCGATTTTCACATAGAGGGCACTGCGTATATTTGCGTGTCGGGTGTGACGGAGAACGAAGTTTCTTGACATGGTTATTATAATATGTTTGCGCCGGCCACAGTGCTATGCTTTGATCTTCGCCGCTGCTCTACTGCGGGGGCGCCACTGAGTCGTTGGGGCCTCGTCGGTGGGGCGCCACTGAGTCGTTGGGGGCGCCACTGAGTCGTTGGGGGCGCCACTGAGTCGTTGGGGACGCCACTAGTCGTTTGGGGGCGCACCAGTCTGGGCGAATTCGTGGCGGGCGCCATCTGCAGTCGTTGGGGCGCCACTGAGTCGTTGGCGGGCGCCACTGAGTCGTTGGGCGCCACTGAGTCGTTGGGGACGCCACTGAGTCGTTGGGGGGCGCCACTGAGCCCTCGTTGCATAAGCATCTGCCTTTAATTTACTGTGAGTTAGGTTGGGAGATACATTTTTGTTGTTATTTATGTATGCATTTGTGTCTATGTGCATATGTGCATCTTGAACACCTTCTCTCTTTCTCTCTCTCTCTCTCTCTCTCTCTCTCTCTTCCTCTCTCTCTTTTTCTCTTGCTCTCTTTTTCTCTCTCTCTCTCTCTCTGTCTCTCTCTCTCTCTCTCTCGCCCTCTCTTTCTCTCTCGCACTCTCTTTTGATCTCTCTTTCTCGATCTCTCTCACACGCATACACACTTTCTCTTGCTCTCTGCTGTATTGCCTTTCCCCATATAGCAGTGGCGCGTCGTAGTTGTACATTATAAGCGTGTATGTCAAACATGATCGTATCCCTTGTTTGACGAAAATTGCACACACGGCGTGGCCGATTTCACGTGCGCCATCTTGTGTGTCGATTTGTTATGAACGCGTTGCAATTCCTCTGTTATTATTAAGTTCCATGTTCCTGCGTTTTGGTGAGTTTATACGCAGCACGTATATGTAGGGGTGCTGTACTATCATATGTATGTACTACCGATCGATGACATTGTAAGCCAATATATCTAATTCTCCCTCACCCACGCCCGCCGAGAACGCACACGTCGGACGCGCCACACTCGCGCGCTTTCGCCGAGAAAAATAGTGCCACGCGCGCGTCTAGCGAGAAAAAAAGTAGTGCGGTTGTTTTTGAAGCGGCGTGATTTTTTTTTAAATTGACCGTTGAACGTTTCGGGGCGGTTCAGTTGTCGGCGTGTTACTAGTGTTTCACGTCCCGTCACCCCCACCCACCCCCGCGCGCCCCGCAATGGCTTCTATGCTTTATTTAATGCGCTTCTACCGTGTATCGCTCTTATACTTCGTTACAAACGGAGGGTCTTGACCTGACCTCTCGTTGACCCTGAGTCTCGCATGACCTCTCGTTGACCTTGAGTCTCGCATGACCTCTCGTTGACTTGGTAGTGCGTAGATCTGAGTCGTGGTCAGTCAGCTGGTCATCTGTGACGTCAGCCTGACCACGTGACGGCTCTACGGCCACATTCCTTCGCGGGCGAGAAAGAGGGAAAATGTAAATACACACATATACGCGCGCACGCACATATGTACACACACAAACACAAACAACAAATACACACGCACACACACGCACACGCACACGCGCACACACACACACACACACACACACGCACCACACGCGCACACCGCGCACACACACACACACACACACACACACACACACACCGACATAGAATGTACCAGCTACACTTGCTGCTGCATCTCTGGCGTTAGTATAGCCAGCGTCAGATGGGCCCAAGTTTTATTGGGAGCAGAGCGCATGCGCACTGGAAGCGTGCCACGTGACGTACAATATTGCACGGGGAGTATTAGCATGGGTGTGGTTGCCCCACCCCCACCCTCCCTCTATCTCTCTTCTCCGCCACCGTTGATCGAATTCACACATTCGGTACCGGGGAAGGTGAGCATTTATTAATTAGTGAAGAGATGACCTTATTATTAATTACTGATATAATTAGCAGTGTCATTATTACAGACGGAGAGTAGTCCCGCCACGGGCTCTCACCAGGGGGCGGTTGAGTGCACAGGCTCTCACAAGGGGGCGAGTGAGTGTCGAAGCTCTCACCAGGGGGCATGTGGGTGCCCAGGATGGTCACTTATTTTTGGCAGCGGAAGGTGTATACTGCATACTGCCACTGACCCGCGTTTTCGGTGGTTTCCACTTTTACTGTAGCTTGTTGAGAAAATTTAATGCTTCTGTCGCATTCGCATTGTATCTAATCGCAAAAAAACAAGAGAGCAGCGCGTCTGCAATGATCTCACGCACACACACAAAAACAACTATTAAATTGCGTTCTATTGATGGAGAAGAGAATTCGCCGTTAGTTCTGCTTCTGTTCCAACAGATGGCGCTGATTGTCGCTGAAGCAAATTGTAATCTGTGGCAGATCCTGTGTGTCGTTACATTTTGCAGCAAAATTGACCATTTATTTAATAAAATCAATATTAAAAGCTGACTTTTCGTATTCCGTTGTGTCACTTTCGTTCTGTTGATCTATGCATAACTAGGAAACACTTCACGGAGTATATCTGATAACTTGTGTAATAACTTGTGTAATAAGTACAAACTAAAAGATATTCCGTTCTACGAATATTTGTTATAACCACGCGCATGCCCACACATATTTATGCACACCACGCCCGCACACACGCACGCGCACGCACGCACACACACGAACACGCAGGCACGCACACACATACACACACGAACACGCGCGCGCGCACACACAATATTATTTGTAAAGATTTGGGACAAGGAGAATATGGCCCTTAATGGTTTCTCCTGGGTTGGAGGCGAAGATAGATCTTTAATTTCACTAGCTCAGCGAGTACTATTAGCAAGAAATTTATAGAGAAAGGGTTCTCTCATTGAATTACGGTGTAAAACAATAATTTTTTTACTTTATATATGAATCTAAGTGATATTGATGACTCTAAAATGCTAAACTACTTGTCACAGTATTGTCCTTAAAATGTCATTGAAGGACTTTGAAAAAAAATGCCACATCTTGTGGGAACCATGTACTGAGTACCTAGCAGTAACAATGTACCACATAGAATCAACCATCACGAAAAACCAAGAAAAAACAATAATACCTTTTTCATTCAATATCTGGTATCCTATCTATTTCTATCTATCTATATCTGATATATCTATCTATTTATATGGTACTTTAATCTATATCCTATCAGGTTACATTCTCTCGGACAACTAAGTTGATCCGCCTCTCCCAAATGCGGTATCGCCACACGGCATCAGGTGGCACGGTGATATGTTAGCCAGTGCAAATGGCTGGGTCTCAGCCTTTCAAGTCTCAGTCTTTACCCTTCTTTATCTGCTTCTGATCATTATCATTAATATACATGTATATATATATATATATAATATAATATTATATCATGTTTATATATATAGCGGCGCGAAAAGAGAGAAACATTGCGAGAGAGGAGAGAGAGATATCAGAGAGAGTGAGAGAGAGAAGTGTGTGGGCATTAATGTTGGCGTGGCGTGCGTGCGTCGCTGGCGCTGCGTGCGTGCGTGCGTGCGTTGCGTGAAGGAAATTGGCGAGGCGAGAGAGACAGAGAGAGATAGAGAAGAGAGAAGAGAGAGAGAGAGAGAAAGAGAGAGAGAGAGCGCAGAGACAGAAGAAGAGAGATGAGAGAGAGGAGAGAGCGAGCGATGAGAGAGAGAGAGTCAGTGTGTGGGTGTGTGTGTGTGTGTGTGTGTGTGTGTGTGTGTGTGGTGTGTTTGTGTGTGTGTGAGTAAGAGAGAGAGGAGAGAAGAGAGAGAGAGAGAGAGAAGAGAGAGAGAGAGAGGGTGAGAGTCACGGAGAAGGGGGGAGGGTTCACGGAGGTGAGCGGGAAAGCGAGAGAATAACTATATTAGAAAGGAAAGGAAATAGTGTGGCCATCCGTGCCTGTGTGTGTCTCGTTGTGCGTTTGTCTCACCGTGTGTACTGCGCATGCGTGTGCAGCATCTACGTCTGCATTATTTCCACCCTCCGTCCCTCTACTCTCTTATCTCGCTCTTTTCTTCCTCATCCCCTCTTACTTCCTTCCCGTCGAGTATTCGGCCTCGCCTCTCGCGATAGTATCTGCCCAGGCTCAGCTTGCAATGCATCAAAGTGGCCGTTTTCAGCCTCAAGCATTTTCACGCGAACCCCCGCCAAAGCCACAAAATGTGATTATACGGCTATAATATCGGGTTTCTTACGCGTCACACAGAGCACACACCACATACACGCGACCGGGGCGCGCACACACGCGGATGGTTTACACGCACGCGTGCGTGCGTGTATTTTTGCGTAATTTCACATTTTGTGACTCGGGGAGTGAAAAAGTTTCGGCTGAAATACGGCCATTTACCCTCAAAATGTTTTCGGGTATGCTATTCGCCGGGCGCGTTGATTTTTTCGTGGTCAATCAGAACATAGCGCTTGTCTGTGCCACGCGCTGCTATGTGATGCTGTTTCGTCACTCAGTGACAGTCACAGTATTGTCATATACATAGCACATTCAAAATTCTAGAAATTCATATATGAACTCTATAGGTTAGGCGTTAAACGCCAGCGTCAAGTATGAAAGGTCGGTGGATCGAATCCCATCCGTCTTCTAATTATTTCCTGTGTTTCTGTAATTTTCGCTATCTTATTCGTTGAAGCATTTTTCTCAAATTAACGCAAAATATTTACATGATTATTACAAACATTTTAATAACAACAATTAATTTTTACAACAAGTTAATAAATTAAATTGTTAATATATTTTTAATAGGATTTGGGTTAGGGTTAAGTTAGGGTTAGGGTAGGTTAGAAATTAGGGTTAGGTTAGGGTTAGGGTAGGGTTAGGGTTAGGGTCACAAAGTGCTCAGTGAAGGCACATAAAACAGGAGTTTGAGTCACGGTGATTTTAATCAAACCAATGGCTAAGCGCTCGCTAGAGCCCTATGTTCTTGATTGGACTTAGGAAAAAAATACATCGCGCCCGGGGGATAGGCAAGCACCCAAGTTTTTCAACAGTGCTCGTCTGGTCGTGGGCATACCACGCGCATGAAGAGGGGAGTAGGAATAAGTGATTACTTTTATTCACTGTTAAGGTTACTGCCTGACACAGGCAGATGAAAGGTCAGAATAAATGAAACCGGCAACTGGTTAGTATTATTATTAATTAATCTTATTGCAATGTATTTCAACTACAAATA